TTGATGTAGAAGAGACATGAAGAAGAGGGGACACATGTTGATGTAGAAGAGACATGAAGAAGAGGGGACACATGTTGACGTAGAAGAGGGACACATGTTGATTAGAAGAGACATGAAGAAGAGGGGACAGATGTTGATGTAGAAGAGACATGAAGAAGAGGGGACACATGTTGATGTAGAAGAGACATGAAGAAGAGGGGACACATGTTGATGTAGAAGAGACATGAAGAAGAGGGGACACATGTTGATGTAGAAGAGACATGAAGAAGAGGGGACACATGTTGATGTAGAAGAGACATGGAGAAGAGAGGACACATGTTGAGGAAGAAGAGACATGAAGAAGAGGGGACACATGTTGACGTAGAAGAGACATGGAGAAGTGGATTTTGTATAATAGGTGACCTTTAAGGCTGTTAGCTCCAGGGGTTTAGCTGAAGTCCCTAACCAGTATAACCAGTGTGTGATTAGATCCTGCTGTTCCTTCCTGTGGACACCCCCCCTCCTCTAATAGGAATGTACTGAATGCTGTGTGTGTGGTGTGTGTGTATTGAAATGGAATGATCACAATGTGCTCTTCAATATCTGTCTCTCTCTCTGCAGAACTAAGTACATTAAAGGTCTCCTATTATACTATTTTAGGCATATATTATAGGTCTCAGATATATACAAATATATAAAAAACATGTGTATGAAGTGTTTTGCTCAAAATACCAAACAGATAATGCATTTTAGACATCCCTCATATCGCTCTGTTTCAGCCCCTGTTACTAAAGTAATGATTCTGGGTCAGTAGCTAAATGTTGCCGTGATGAAACGCCATATCATGCATTGTTTCTGATAGCAACGTTTCTGATAGGCCAGTGGGTGTAAAGCCCGCCCACATTTCAGATATTACGTCATATCGGACGCAAATCTGGATCAGCTCCGTTGTTCCCCGTTTTTAGAGATGTGGGTACGGAGGACAAGAGAGAGGGTTTTATTTCCTGACACTTAGTGAGTCTCCTGACACACCGGAGACACATATTTATATATCAAAGACATCAACAAGTGCAGTTTTCATGATAGGACACCTTTGATATCTGTTTGAAATTTAATTTAATTTTTTCCTAAAAATTCTGACTTTCTCAAAAATCTGACTTTTTTCCTACAAATTCTGACTCTTTCTCAAAATTCTGAGTTTTTCTCAGTATCTCAAAATTCTGACTTTTTCTCAAAATCTCTCAATTCGGACTTTCTCTCAAAATTTCGGACTTTTTCTCAAAATTTCAAAATTCTGACTTTTTCTCAAAATTTTGACTTTTTTCCTTAAAATTCTGACATTTTCTCAAAATTCTGACTTTTTTTCAAAATTCTGAATTTTTTCCTTAAAAAAATCAGATTTTTTCTCAACATTTTGACTTTTTTCCTACAAATTCAGACTTTTTCTCAGAATCTCAAAATTCTGACTTTTTCTCAGAATCTCAAAATTCTGACTTTTCCTCAAAATCTGGAAGTAGTCATCACATACAGAGCATCAACTAGGGGTGAAGTGTCTCAGGGACACAACGGGGTTTGAACCTGTGACCCCCTGATCCTAACACCTACGCACAACCCACTGCACCACACGCCTCCCACATACAGAGCATCAACTAGTTCCTTCACATGCTGATATCCAAGAGAGGGAGTTACTCAGTCACAAGATGGAGGAATATAATAAACATTACCTGTCTCTCTCTCTCTGCAGATTTTCCTGATGTCGGTCACAGTGTTTCCCGTTCGGTTGCTGCTCGTCTCCTCCCTCATGTTTCTGGGCTGGCCGTTCGCCTTCATAGCCTCCATGGGACGCTCCGATTATATCATGGAGCCTCAGTCGTGGTGGAGAAGGTGTGTGTGTGTGTGTGTGTAAAGTGTTTAAATTATACTATGACATTTAAACACCTGAACTTTTTAAAGAACCTCCTTCCAAGATAAGATAGGACTTTATTTATCCCGAAGGAAATTGTTGTGCCAGAGTTACACAAATACAATACACATCATATTCTAAAAATGAAATAACCATAAAAATAAAAGCAATATTCTTTCAGTCACGGTTGCTTACAAATACTGAAACATAAAACCAGAACACAATGAAAAGTCTTCTTCATACTGTCTAACTACGCTTTCTTTATACATTATTATGTGCTCCTCAGGTTTGTAGATGTGTGTCTTCGAGCCATCATGCGGGCCTTGTGGTTTTGTTCAGGTTTCCATTGGATAAAAGTGAAAGGAGAGCGAGCGAAACCTTCAGAAGTTCCAATTCTCACGATGGCCCCTCACTCCTCTTACTTTGATGCCATCCCGGTCACCATGAACATGTGCTCCATCGTCACCAAACTGGAGAGCAGGAGCATTCCCGTCTGGGGAAGTGAGTGATTCTCCATTTTCAGAATCTGTTCGAAAAATATCACTCACCGGCTTGAGCTTGAATCTCAGGATCCATGTATCTGTGATCCTCTCCAGAATGGAAGTAGTCATCACATACAGAGCATCAACTAGTTCCTGAACAGTGTCCTTCACATGCTGATATCCAAGAGAGGGAGTTACAGTCACAAGATGGAGGACTGCCGCTTCTTGTTATCATACATCCTGTCATGAACAAAATACTGATTTTTTTCTCAAAATTTGGACTTTTTCTCAAATTCTTGAAAAATTATGATTTTTTTCCTCAAAATTATGATTTATTTTCTCATATCAAAATTTGGACTTTTTCTCAAAATTGTGATTTTTTTCTCAACATCAAAATTCAGAATTTTTCTCAAAATATCAAAATTCTGACTTTTTCTCAAAAATCTCAAAATTAGGACTTTTTCTCAAAATTAGGACTTTTTCTCAAAATCATGAATTTTTCTCAAAATCATGAATTTTATTCAAAATCTAAAAATTATGACTTTTTCTAAAAATCTCAAAAATTAGGACTTTTCCTCAAAATTAGAATTTTTTCTCAAAATCAGGACTTTTTCTCAAAATTCGGACTTTTTCTCAAAATCTCAAAGATTATGACTTTTCCTAAAAATTATTACTTTTTCTCAAAATCTCAGAATTATTACTTTTTCTCAAAATCTCAAAATTCGGACTTTTTCTAAAAATCTAAACAATTATGACTTTTTCTCAAAATTATGACTTTTTCTCAAAATTATGACTTTTTCTCAAAATCTCAAAAATTAGGACTTTTTCTCAAAATTAGGACTTTTTCTCAAAATCTCAAAATCATGACTTTTTCTGAATACTAAAACGTTTTAATAGTCCCTGGTCACCGGCTTGAGCTTGAATCTCAGGATCCATGTATCTGTGATCCTCTCCAGAATGGAAGTAGTCATCACATACAGAGCATCAACTAGTTCCTGAACAGTGTCCTTCACATGCTGATATCCAAGAGAGGGAGTTCCACAGTCCCAAGATGGAGGAATAGAAAGCAGTATTCAATGTTTACTTCAGATTAGCTCCACGTCAGAAATGATCATGCTTGTCATATGTCTCTCTCCATAGAGGCTGAATCATCATGTTAATCACATAGCTATCATATGCCTCAAACAGTCCTGATGCTCTTCTAGGTAATCACACATCCTGTCATGTTCACAGCTACAGTTGGGATACCTTTGTTATCATGTGACTCTAATGTTGGAAGAGGACATTTAGGATTTTCCCATCAGTATCAGAATACCTCTATTCGTCCCGCAGAGGGGAACTTTACTTTGTTACAGCAGAAAAGAACCAAAGACAGCTAACAGTTAACTAAGAAGCATGTATAAAACAAAAAGTAAAAGTAGAAGTACTCAGGTCTTGTTGTTGACAGCCAGGTTTCCTTTCAGTCTCTGGCTCTGCTGTGTTTTTCCTCTCTTGTTCTGACATCTAAAATCTTCCTCCAGCTCTGATCAGCTACATCAGGCCGGTGTTCGTGTTTCGCTCGGATCAAGCCTCCAGAAGAAAGACTGTGGAGGAGATCAAGAGGAGAGCCAATTCTGGAGGGGAGTGGCCCCAGGTAATCAATCCAACTTTATTTATACAGCACATTTAGAGTTGACCAAAGTGCTCTACATCGATAAATATATAAAAAGCAGCATAAATACATTTAGACAAAACCGATAGGACCAAAAAACAAATGTAAACGCACAAGACAATAAAACCACGGATTGAACATTTTAAAACACAACAAAATAGAAAACCAAGGTACCAACTTGGACATCGAACAACTGATCTAATGTCAGGTTCAAAATAATGAGTGAGATCAACATTGTGTGTTTATGTACCCTGATGTGTGACATGTACTTGTTTCAGATCATGATATTCCCAGAGGGAACGTGCACCAACAGGTCGGGGCTCATCTTGTACAAAGCTGGTATGTGTTCAAACCCCTTCTGGTTTCAAGAGATGGCAAAAGTAAACACATTCTAAAAATACTCTGGTAGAAGTAGAAGTACTGACTGAACTTCTTTACTCAAGTAAAAGTGAAGAAGTATGGG